ACTTTCTTTCTCCCTGGCCAAGGTGCTATGAGGTTGAGATGTTTCCAAATTGTTCTGGGTTCCTTATAAACAGATGTCAGGTAAACCGACTCAGTTCCTCGCTGGGGGCGTGATGTGTGTTAGAAGTAGGATCCTGGGGGTGCTAAGGCATTGGGATTTTAAAGCTCTGTACACATTCAGGGCTGAGATCCACTGAGTTTGTTCAGAGGGTCCTTGAGTTCTAAGAAACCTGTAATTCCTGTGTGTCACTGTAGGGGACACTGTAGGGGCCACTCACTCAAGGTTCCACTCCTAAGAGAGTTGGCAGTTAGAATCAAATCACTTTTCCTGTTCTAGAAGCAAAAGTAAAATGAACCCTCTGGCCGTAAACTGAAAACCCGCTCGTAGGTTTTCAGACGCTCTGCTGCCATCTACTGGTCAAAGGCAGCTCTGATCAGGGCAGGGCAAAGGTGTCATTGAGGGCCTTGAATTGAAATCTCATTAAGAATGAGCCAGTGGCTCCATAGACTCTTCCCACTCCATGTACTTTATTATAGTCTTGCAGGGTGGTGCGTGCAAATTCAGCAAAGGGGCATGTTCTTCAGAGGTCAGAGGCAGTTCACTGGACAGCCCCAGCATCTCACAGCTTTGAGGCCGACTGGAGGCTGTAATTACAGTGGCGCATAGGGAAGGTGCTGATCTCGCAGATCCAAGCATGCCCTTCTCATCCATCAAGGCCAGTTCCACCTGAGCCTCTTTGAAGGGGCCCCTGGGCAGTTTGAAGATTCAACACAGAAAATGCTGCTTCTGCTGCTTAGGCTGCAACTTTACCAAAGTGGTAAATACAGGGTGCAATAAGTCCTTGCTTCACTTCCAAGCTTTAACCGACCCTCACTTACAATCACTGTACTCCACGTCTCCAGCCTCCAGGTGACTGGGGCTTTGCAGAAGCCTCAAGAGGGGATGAAATACAATAAATTGCAAATAAGGAGCCTTTAGGGAAGAAAGGATTGTCTAAATCCCAGGAGTGGCTGCTGTCTGCTTTGCTAAGGCCATCACAAGGACTGGAACAAGCAGTTTACACAACAGATCTCTCTCCTCACAGTTCTGGAAGCAGGAAGGCCAAGGTCAAGGTCAGCAGGGTTGGTCCCTTCTGAGGGCTGAGTGAAGCTTCTGACCTGAGCCTCCCTCTGTGGCAGTGGATGTCGCCTTCCTCTCGAGCCTGTGCACATCGTGTTTCTTCTGTGCACCCAGATTCTCACCTATAGAAAGCCCTAGTCACACTGAACTGGAGACTAACCTGTCCCTCCATTTTTACCTGATCACCTCCCTGTCTCCAGCGAAGGTCACATTCGAAGCGCTGACAGTTCAAACCTCCACTTAGAGATTTCTGGAGGCCACAGTTGAGGCCCTGTGTGCTTTTGTAAAGGACAGTGCTATGAAGGAGAGTGCTGGGAGAGGGAGGAGGAGTGCAGCTTCTGGTTCCTGTGCTTGGATGTGGCTGAACCTTGGACACCAGCTGCTTCCTTTCCCTGCCCCTGTCCTTGGGATACCAGCCCCGTGTTGGGACCCCTGCATTTTCCAAGCCAGGCAGAAGCAAGGTCAGAGTGGATTCTGGTACAGCTCCAGAGCTGTGCGATATACTAGATGATCAGAAAGCCGCCCAGATTTACAGTTAGCAGGAGTCACTGGCCTGGTGGCAAGGCCCCCCGCAGACCTGTCAGCCCGAGTAAATCATCAGTGCCCTCAGGCTCCTCTCGGGCCTTTGAAAAACAAATTAATCAGGCAGGGGACCATGTTAAAATATTGCTCTTGTACTAACAGTTTTGAAACGTGACACTGTCATCTTAAATCCTTCCCGGGAAATGTGGGAGACCAGGGCTCCTCTCTGAAATTGTCAACTGTCTGTCAGTCCACCCTGCTGCTGGTCAGGGGCTCTGTGATGGGGCCCTGCAGGTTGACAAGGCCTGGCGTTCACCTGCTGCCAACACGCAGAATTCAACTAGATGAGACACTGAACAGCTGTCTTCATCTGAACTGTGCAGACCGCTCAAGGACAGCAGAAGTCCTTCCTGCCTTCTCCCGTCAGGCTTCGTGATGCAGTCTTCAGCCCATTGTCATAGGAAAAGTAAATGCACTTCTGTTTCCCAGTCCAATATCTATCTAAGTGCACAGCAAGGAAATTTACACCTCCATTGTTCCAAGCAGAGTCCCACAGAGATGTAACTTTACCTCTTTCTTGTGGCCACAACCACATTTCCAGATCTTCATCTATTGGCCAAGCATATTTTCAAAACAGTAGGTTGAACACTTGTAATCCCAGCTCTTCAGGAGGCTGAGACAGTAGGATTGTAAAGTCCAGCCCAGTCTGGGCAATATAGTGAGAACTTGTCTCAAAATAAAAGTTTAAAGCTTAGGTTGATGGTAGAGCACTTGCCTAGCATTTGCAGAGCCCTAAAAAAATAAGATAGATTGGGAGACTGTCGAGTTGATAGATGCACTTGACATAGACCCTTTCCTACAAATATTCAGATTTATTTCAAACTTTGTCATCAAGTTTTCCAGTCTCTAGTTGAGCATATTGGGCTGCACAATGCCTGTGATGCCAGCTCCACCCTTCTTCACACAGTGTGGAGGCACTGGCATGTGCCGGCCGCTGCACTGTGTGCAGCGTGTGTGTGTGTTGTTTGGGTGGCAATGGCAGTCGTGGTACGAGTGCTGAGGACTACCCTTCATGCACACTAAAGGCCACCTGCAGCCAACATTGACATGCGTATCTGTGGATACCGTGTGTCCATGCACTCTGTTTTCCCCCTAGAGAAGCTCCTCCCTGCAGGTCATGGTGGCCTGCACAGCAGAGACAGGAGAGCCCCTTGAGCGTAGTTCAGGAGTAGCCAGGACAATACAGGAAGACCCTGTCTTAGTCAGTTTCAGAGGTCTCACCCTGCGTGATCCATTGGCTCCAAGGAAGAGACTGCATGATAGAAGGAACTGGAAGAGGAACGCTGTTCATGTCATGGTGACCAGGGAGCAGAGAGGAGGGAGCTGCCAGGGAAGAGCTGTATCCTTTCGGGTCTTTCCCAGTTAGCTGCCTCTTCTAGCTAGGCCCCACAGGATCCGCTGATTACTCCACCGGTGAGTGGAGAACCCCCATCAGGCAGCCACCTTCCAGGCCCACCGCTGAACACATGAGGCGTTGGGGGCTGCTCTAGACCTCAGCATAGCAAACCCCATTTCCTAAAGACAAGGTTTATCCCTCACAGCTACCCTATAAGACAGAATTTATTGCTCCCATTTTATAGCTAAAACAAAGGAGACCAAAGTAATTTGCATAATATCACATGCTTACAAGAGTTAGGAAATTGAGCTCTTACCAGTCCAATTGTTGAAATACAGGCTGACCAAAACTTGCATTTTTTTTATTAATTTCTATAAGGCATACAACTGGAAATATAAAAACGATAATTCTATCCGATTTATTTAGTAATTTTTGTGTGTATGGTATATCTTAAAGCATTCAACATAAAATACAGTGTTACAATCTAGAGAGTAGTATCTAGTCTCTTTCCAAATTCTTTTTGCATTAGCGAATTTCTTTGAAGCACACACTTCACACTGCTGTGACGGCCTGTATTTTCAATCCTGTGGTCTGTTAGACCTCATCTAAATTGTAAATGACTTTTTGAAGTCCCTTGTTTTGAATAAATAACAAATGAGTTCCATATTGTTTCATCCAGAAGGTGCGATAGATATTTTATGACAATTTTTTTTCTCGCTTTTGATTACAGGATGGCTTCTTAGATGTTGGTCAACTCTGTCAACACCACCCACAGAATCAGTATAATCACTGGCGACTCTTGGAATTGTTTTAGTTTTGCTTCTTCTTTCAAATTCTATCATTTCTGTATGAGGAGTAGTTGACCATAAGGAGATGTCTTTTTTGTCTTTCTATTTCATAACACAGGCTTTTCCTCTTTGCTAGGCTAACATTTCTCTGTTTTTCACTTTTTTCTTTTGCAGGTTTTTTTTTTTTTTTTGACATTTCCTTCCTATTCAATCTCAGTGTTCCAAACTTATCCATTTTGTATTGTAAAAGAATATCACAGTACTCTGGAGAAACATAAAGATTATATCTAACGTACTTACAAGAAGAGTTTTTATAGATTGTAGCACAAAATTATAGGTTTTTTTCGCAAATAAATACAAATTAGTAAAAGAAAATAACCAGACTTTATTGTGAGATTTCACTAGAAACAAACATCAAAGGCAAATACAATGACTAAGTAAAAACTGTATCCAAAAAATAGTCACTACAAAACAAAGGTACAAATTTATCTCATGCAAACAAGAATCAACTGGATGCAGTGACAGCTGCCCATGTGACCCCGAGGAGAGTCAGTATGGAAACGAGTGACACTTGGGGAAGAGTTAGGTGGTTAGGACAGTTTATCCAGTGTACCAGTACAGACTGAAAGTGGTACCACTTCCCACGCATATCCTGGTGTGATGTCACAGCATGACATGGCTGACTCTGAGTGTAAAGGTTTACTGTTGTAGGCTAAACATTTGCTGGACATGGTTTACTGCCAGCTGCAGGGATGTTGGCTGGAAGTGAGTGTAGCATCCATGGATTCGAGGCTGTGCTTGAGTTGCCCGTTGGGCTCCAGGTCTCACACAGCACAGCGCATCATGCCCTGAGTCCTGTGTGATCTGACACTAGGTGGATGTCGGTGTTGCCCTCATCCGTGTCTTCTTCACGGTTCTGTGGCACAGTTGGGATGTGACCCTGGTCAAACTTGCTGTAATTAACATGTGACATGTGGACCCACAGGGGAGCTACACTAAGCTAATCGTTGCAGCACCCCAAACCTACCTAGTGAGCCCCATCTCTGGCTGCACACATCCCAAGCACTAATTATCGGGAGAAATTACAGACTTGTGTACCTACTTGAGGGGATGAGTTTTAAACTGATGCCAAAACTCCGGTCTCACGTCTGCTTTCATTCTCTTTCTTTCCCCAGTAAATGAAAATGGTAACCACCTAAGTGCTGGATGGGTCCTGGGCGCAGCTGTGGGAGTGAAGTCTACTCCGCCTTCTCCAAGGAACAGGGCTGAGGCCCTGCGCCATGCAGTAAAAATCAACTGGTCTTAGAAGTTTGAGAAAAGTCAGGGAAGCCTTGGTCCATAAACCGACCAGCGGAGGGGATGTGAAAAATGCCGCACTATTCCGTCACTTGCCGTTGCCTGCTGACTGAAGAACTGCATGAACTCTATTTAAGCCGCTTTCCGTACCGCTGCCAATCACTCTTTTGGACTTGGGAGTGCTCTTTTCCCTTGGACTCTGACATTGTTTCATTTTGCATGCATCCAGTGATTCTACAGACATAATTTACTTAGATATTTTTTTAAAAATCCATCCATGCAAAATGATGATAAAGTATGAATTCTGCTCTTTTTGCCAAATTACAGTCTTATCCCATGTCATTAAAAGTTTAAATTGGTTTTCTTTAAAGATCAGTGTACTCGGTCTGCCTATACTTTATAGAAAATTAGCTTCTATAAAGATTTTTTCACTGTTTACTAGTGAAATGAGAAACGCAAATCTATTTATAAAAGGCCTTATGTCATGTATATACATTGTCTTTGAAATACCTGTGATTAGTTTATTGCTTGTAAAAGAAATTATATAATTTATTTAGTAAATACTACTGTAAACTATAGTTTTATTGAAAGAAATAAAATATTTTGTTCTCAGTCGTGGTTGTACATTGGTTCCAGTGATTTAGAGTCTTGAGTTGGGAGGTTTTAAGGATTGAATCCAGTGCCTCACGCCTAAGTGCTCTACCACTGAGCTACATTCCCAACCCATATTTCTTTATTTTGTTAGTTAAAAAGAATTAACCAAGATGCTCCTCATTTTAAGTGTTCTGGAATTCTAAATTAGTTGAAGCTCATGATTGCCAGTCCTGGGAAAAAAAAGACTCAATATCAGAATCTGCCCAACTATTCCAACAGACCTTGCCAAATGTCCTGGTATATTAGAATGTTCTCACAGTGCTGTGCTGTGCTAACAATGCCAAAATTGTGATAGCTTTTCCCAACAAGAGATTTATTTCTCACTGGCATATGGGAACCAGTTTCAGGCCTGCAGCACACCTCCGCTCTATTTGCAAGCCTTCTCACCTACGCTGGGGTTCTTCCCAGGACCCACTGACTCCCAGGAGGGTTAGAGAAGGTTACAGTATATGAAGTGGGTTCGTAAACAATATAGGAATCCAAGCAGCCAAACTGATATATTTGGAATTTAATTAGCTGAGCTAATTGACCACTCGTGTGGACCCATTTCAGAGTCTCACTGAGTGGTCCTGAACTGGAAAATTACAAAGCTTTTAAACAGAGAACCACAAAAAGACACCCTGTTGGAGGCCATTTAGCTAGAATCTTACATTAATTTTTGGTTGACAGCTGTATCCTGCTTCTTTGTTGAGCAGGTTGATTTTTCTCTTGGGGATATATCTCATTCTGCTTTTCTCATTGGGACTTATACCCTGAGTAATTTTCTGTTTCCCTGGGTCAAATACAGGACACTAGTTAAATGCAGGGCTCAAGATGGCATCAGTTATGCCAAGCTACAATAGTTTACGTGAGTTGAATGTGCCTTTGGATATACAGATTGTGTATTCATTTTTAAGGAAGGAGGCTATAATTTTCATCAAATGCGTAATGACTTTGACTCAAGCATTGTTAAAAGTATTATGTTAGTGTCTAATTCAAATTCAAGTTTAAAGTCCTGGATTTATCCTCCCTAATAGTCCATCCTCACCTGATCGTCCATAGATGGCCTGTGGTTATCTTCCTGTCTCACAAAACCTCAACACTGTGTACTATCTTCAATAATTGAAGTATTTCCAGACATGATGGTGCATACTTGCAATCCCAGCACTCAGGAGGCTGAGCCAGGAGGATCTCTGTAAGTTTGAGGCCAGCCTGAATTACACAGTGAGATCTTGACTCAAAACAATGTGAGGTATTACCTACATACATAGAGTGCTCAATGTTAATTATATAGTACAATGAATTTTCAATTTTGTGTATATCAACTTGGCTATGACCTGGAACAAGATTTCTAGCTAACCTGCAGCTCAAGCTCTTTCATGTCCTTTCCCTATCAATGCCATCTCCAGAGTCCCCAGAGGTAACCTTTATTTTTAAGCAAAGTCTCAGTTTCCCAAGCTGGTCTCAAACACATGGACTCAAGTGATTCTCTTGTCTCAGCCTCCTGAGTGCTAGAAATACAGAATGTGTGCCACCATGCCCAGGATGAGATAAATTTTTTATGACTTCTATGACATAAATTTATTTCATCAGTTCTTGAACTACAAGTCAACAGAATCATACAGTATTTACAGTTTACCTGCCTTCACTGCTATCTGAAATTCATTCTTTTGGGTAGTACTAACATTCGTTTGCACTGCTGTGTGGCATTCTGTCTTAGTCGGTGTCTGCTTTTATAACAAAATACCTAACACTGAGTAATTTACAAGGAACAAAAATTATTTGCCACAGTTCTGGAGGTCCAAAGTCAAGGCATAAACTGTTCAGTGAATTCAAGCCAAACATCATGGAACACAGCTGCAATCCCAGCACTCAAGAGGTCGAAGCAGGAAGATCCCTGGGAGTTCAAGGCCAGCCCCAGCTGCAGACTGAGGCAGCCTGAGCTACATAATGAGCTCTTAGCTCAAAAAAGCCAAAATGAATCAAAAAAGCAAACAAGAACCAAAAAACCAGTTTAGTAACCCAAATAAGTATCTAGCCTTGCTTTCCAAGATGGCACCAGTAATCACTTCCTCCAGAGCAGGCAACACTGGACCCTCATATAGAGGGATAGAAAGGCAAAAGGCTCCCCAGCTCTTTATTGAGGCCTGAATCCCATTTCTGAGAGCAGACCCCCTAATCACCTAAAAACTCCCACTCCTGATACTGGTGAAATGCTGATTAATTTCCAACATATGACTATCAGAAGTCACACTGGAGCCGTGAACTGATGTATGAACCTGGGTCAGTTCCCTATTGCTAGCGCCCACTCACATTAGCATTAGTATTCTTCTGAAGCTGAGTCATGGCAGACTTTAGTCATATCTATAAAAGATGTTACCACAACACTTAGCGTCTTCCTGGAGAATTCCTACCCAGGCCTTCTGACCTGCTTCGGACTGGATGTCCACCATACTTGGTGTCTTGGGACTGAAGAGGAACACTGAGCCCAGAAAGATGCCAGCGTCGAGTATGAGACTCTGTGGAACCCCATGCTCTGAGGATGGCGCAGCAAATTTGTGACTTTCTCATCATGGCTGCACCTGGAGAAACGTACCACGGGCCCAGCTGAGACCTTAAAGATGGTTTCTGTTCACACCTACTGCCTGGATACTGTCACACAGGTACAGTGTACCTACATATGGAATATGCCTGGTCATTCTTATGTAACGGTATCCAGGACAAGATGTCACAGTCAACATGGATTTTGAAGAGGACTTCAGCAACTGGCATGGGTTTCTCAGCGACCTGTTCTGCGGTTACTGTAAAAACCACAATTCATGGGGAAGAGTTAGAGCCCTCAGGAGAAGCAGGAAAATGCTGCTTTCCTTCTGGCTCACCCATGGGGCACTTAACAGTTGGTCACATGGCACACCTGCCAGCTGACCCTGGAAAAAGTGCCAGTGACACAGAACGTTCTCAACACAGCCCCCCAAAATACACCCCATCAACCGGGGTCATGTGCTCATCTCATCAGGCCCAGAGCTCCTCGGCCTGAACCACACTCTGGAACCACCAGGAACATTCCAGAAAACACCAGTGACGGGTCCTATCTCCTGAGATGGACTTAACTGGCCAGGATTGTGACTTGAACATCAGGACTTTCAGTAGTTCCTGAGGTAACTCTAATACAGGCAAGATCCAGATGCACAAACCCTGGGTTCAGTGACTAGCACCAAAACAAAAACAAAACAAAGCCTCTGAGCCTGTGGGTACATTTCATTTGACCTGCACTACAATGGCCTGCATGGTACATTTTAAGAATCATTTCCTACATTTCAAAACTGATGAGCCTCATAGACACTCCATGACCCAGACGCCACGCTTCTGTCAGAATATTGCATGCAGGACACCCACGTCCCCACCGCACACATCACCAGGCCGAGCCGCCCTGCCCTAGATCCCATGTTATCACCACAGTGCAGGGCTGCCCAACGGTTGCCATTTGTCATCCTGTTTGCACTGTGGAAACAAGAGAAAAGTGATCTGTAATTTCCCACTCCAGGCACCTAAATGCCTTGTAGCCCATAGAGCCAAGAGCTGAGAAGCAAATGATCCCAACCTAATTACCCTAATAATGAGATAGCTCCCTAAGGCAGAAAAGAGCTCTAAATATTGCACCCAGGAGCCAGTTCCAGAATTCAGAAAATGCAGAAAGACTGACAAGATTGTATTTACTGTAAAGTAGTGCGTGGTAGGAATCAAACCCAGCCTGTGAGGTACAGAAGTCATTAACTTTATATACAAAAGAAAAAGAGGTTGCAATCCTAGGGGCAAATTGCAGGGCTCCCCCACTGCCCCACCCCCAACAGAGGCCCCAGGCTTGATTCTATCCAAAAATTCCTTTTACAAGTCTCTGGGACAGGGGTCCTTTCTTCATCAAGCCCCTGGCTCTTCCCAACTGTCTCCTCTGCTCTCTTTTTCCCAGGCAGCTTCTCATCTATGGGATCTCACCCTCCCCTGGTGGAGATGTCACTCTGTGTGCCCCTGTGGCGCTCTGCAGTTGGCCCCATCCCAGCATTTATGTGGCCCTGGAAGTGCTGTTCAGTTATCTCTCTCCTGCACGAGACCCTAAGCTCCACGAGAGAGGGTGGTCACCAACCTTGCTCTCTATCATATCACCAGCGACCAGCGTGCCTGGACCTGGGGAGACCCAGCAGATAAGGATGGGTGGGTGGGTGGTGAATGGGTGGGACGAAGGATGGAGGAGCAACAAGAGATGGAAGAAAGAATAGAACTCAAAGTTGTAATCAGAAAGTACGATCCTATCATTAGAAATACCTCAGGAAAACTATTTAAAATGACAAACTCCAGAATACAGACACAGGTCTCAGCTGCGGCTGAACCTGAAAAACAAAATCCAGGCCAGGAAATTCACAGAGGAAATCTAATACAGAGAAAAAGTCGATAGGGTAGCAGAAAGAAAGGTAAAATGGGGGCTGGGGATTTAGCTGAGCGGCATAAGCGCCTGCCTTGCAAGCAGGCAGTTGTGAGTTTGATCCCTGGTACCGATAAAAATGAAAAAGACCAAAAAAAAAAAAAAAAAAGAAAGAAAGAAAGGTAAAATGACTGACTCAAAATTAGGAAATCCAAGGAATTACAGTACACCGTCACAACTACACCTGGAGGGACAAGTGGACAAGGGTTTATCAGAGCCCAGGATCAGTGGCTGAAATCATGGTGCCTAAATCAGAGAGAGGTGGGACCACGGGGGACATCTGATCACTAGCAAAGGGAATGGAGAAATGGGAAGCAGGGCAGAAATGCCCTGCCTTCTCCTCTCCCTGTCACTTCCCCACTCCCTACAAGGGCCTCTCTCTGAACCTACTTGTGTGCCTTTTGTTTTGTGTGCAGAGGATTAAACTTGGGGTCTCAGACGTGCTAGGGAAATGCTGCAATGCCGAGCTACACCCCCAACCCAGCTGAACCTAATGTAAAGC